CGTGGGGTTCGAGGGCTTATCTGCCACCTTTTTAGTTCAAGGGCTTATCACTAGCTGTTGAAAAAGTTGAGGGGCTTAACATGGGTTTTTGCCTTATTTGTTTAAAAAGACCATGCACTTCATCAGCTTAAGGAAATTGCATTCCTTTACCGAGCATCCCACCAATAATGCCATCTTTACCTAACATTTTGCCTACTTCAATTTTCATATCCATGCCAAAGTTCAAGTCCTTATAGGACAATTGTAATATTTTTTCCTTTTCCCACCAAAATTCACCCTTATTCAAAAAAAAAAAAAAATCATAACAATAGTAGTAGAAATCTCTTCTATTCCCTCAAAATAATCCACTTGTACGGCTAAGAAGTTGTCAATGCTATCATTTACTGCTTGTAAAGCTAAGTAGTTGTTCCCATCAATTTCATCTATTGACTCTGAAAGGTCTTAATCATGAGACATTTGTTGGTGAAATTGGAAAAGAATCCATCTTGACTCCTATAATCAAAGTTAATCTAAGAGTAAGGATTAGAATTACTCTTGGATTATCATATTCAAACCTGTTCAGTATTAATTGTTGTACCTATGATTTTGATGATTACAAAACACATTTGAGTGACTAATTGGTTTATTTAAGTGTGTAGTTAAGTTGCTAAAAAATTGCAAGTAAACTTAGATTGCACTAAAAATAGACCAAAAGGATTCAAAATGTGTAGAGAGCTGGCTCTGGTGAAATGGAAGTGCAAAGAGTCGGCTCTAAAAACTGCAGCTAGCTCTACAGGCAAAAATTTGAAGACCGTTGTTTGGCACGCGCGGAGAAAAGATGCAAAGCCAGCTCCAACTTTGCAGCCGACTGTGAGGGTGCATTTAATGCTCAATGATTAAGTTATTTGAAGATTATTTAATTTGTTTAAAGTTGGAATCCCAAAGCCGGCTATGGAAGAAAACAGAATGTGCAGGAATCCCACAAAGCCGGCTGCAGAATTTCTAATCCAGCTCTACGGAGAAAACAGAATGCAGGAAACCCGCAGAGCCGGCTGTAGAAAAGATAAACCAACTCTACAGAGCTGGCTCTAGGAAGTTAAGCTGGCTCTCTTGACAATCTTGCAGCTCGAGTTTTGCGTCCTGCAGAGCATTTAATGACCTTCAACGGCTAGAAACGGCTATTTTCAAGCAAGGAGTTATAAATATGGTTGGTAACAGATATGAACAAGTTTAGAGGGTATTGCATTGAATATCTTTACCTACCTACATGTGCTTTAACTTGAGTTTTTGATCTTTTAACTTGAGTTTTTGATTTTTAAGAGATCTTTACTTGTAATCCTCTTTTTGTTCTATTTGTGAGTGATCTTGGGGGTGTGATTAATCCTTCAAGAGTGATTTGTAGAAAGGATTCTTGGGGTTTAAGTGTAAAGATGTGAGATTTGAGAGAAACACCATTCTTCTTGTAAAAGGATTGAGTGGCTCTTTTAAGCCATCCTTGTTGTTGTTAGTTGAGAGTGTGGAGGAAATCCTTGGTGAGTGAAGCCAAGGTAGAGGACTAGGCTCTAAGTGGTTGGACCGAACCTCTATAAATCATTGAGTAAACTCTTCTTCTCTACTCTTTTTAATTTTGATTTTGTGGTTGCAAAAATGGGAGAATTTTTGGAACTTCAATTCACCCCCCCTCTTGGAGTACATTGAGTCAACATTAATCATGCAAGTGAATAATACGAAAAGAAAATAGAAGTCAGCCAAGAAAAAATTGAGAATAATACAAACAGACATAAAATCTCTACAATGCAAGATCAAAATCTAGGTAGCCACAAAACATATGAATTAACAACGGAGCTTTCTCAAACCAGAATTAACAACCCAAACATACGGTTAGCTTAGATCATGTCCATGTCAAATTTAAGCAAAGAACTTTTCCAACGATTGATCACGGCAAACAGGAAATTAAAGAAAAATTTAACTACAAAGTTAATGAAACTAAATAGATAATAATAATAATAATAATAATAATAATAATAATAATAATAATAATTGACATAACATGGAAGTACCTAATTAGCACTTCAATTTTTGGAGTAAAAAATAAAATTTTATTCATTTTAATACTCAACTAGATCTTAAACCGCACTTTGCATGGTCTGTTTTTATTTTTAAAACTTTTTTATTAATTATAAGTTTTTATAATAATAATTAATTATAAATATATTTTAGAGTATTTTAAAGAAGATTTAAGCATATAAATGTAATCAATTTAATTTTAAAAAATAAAGACAGAATTTTCTAATTTAGACTCTTTTGATTTTGATTTCTAATCGTAAATTACTGTATTTTTGTAGATTTCTCCATAGAATCCTTTTTTGAATTTTATCAATAATGTTTGCTTTCAATTTGAGAAATCTAATTCACTTTCGAAACATATCAAGTCCCTATTACCATCAACAAATCATCAAGTAGAAGAAAAATTAATATTAATCTAAAAACAATTACAAAGCAACCATAACAACCATGATACATGAAAACGAAGCAAGTATACTTAGCTTCTTCTTCTTTTTTTTTCCGTTCTTTTAGGTAGCATATTTTTGCTCTTCAATTTTGTCACGCTCTAGAACCCAAATCCAAGGGCAAAATACACGTCGTACACTTGTAAGAGAATCCCACAAATGCACAAGGCTCATAATTTATTAAATTCAACTACAATCCATGAAACAATTTTGCAAAAATCTGAAAATAAAATTTATACTGCAAACCTAATTACAAAATAGGCTAAATCCAAATATATGTGGCTAGTCTAACTCCAAGATAATCTAAGTCTGAAACACAAATGGCTAGCCTTCTAACTCGTCACTCCCCTCAGTTTTCCCACGTCTTTGGTTTTAGTACCTGAAATGGTGGACGAGGAAAAACTCTGTAAGATAACTCAGTAAGTAAAAATATGGATAGCCCTTATTTAATGTATAAAGCATGCCAACAAGTGTAATCAAGTATAAAAAAAAATGGGTTCAAGTATGGGAATGAAATAGACGTCTTCTCTACCGATCATGGCCAGCGTTTATGAACCTCCCACTGGCGAGCACAATAGTAACTAGTGTATTATCCCACTAGCAAGAATACAGGATGAACCAATTCCTAGAAATACATGTCGACATGTGCTAGCGTTTATAAACCTCCCATTAGCAGGCACAGTAAAACATGACCATATTGGAGGCAAAACCAAGCAGGATTTAACAAGAAAATCATAATTTACAAATAATTCCCAGATCATCAAGGTAGTTAAGTAAACTCCAAGTAGGCATGCTCAACTCAATGAAACCGATAATAATTTCATTTCAAACCAATCATACTCATGTTTGTGTAAAACGGGTTCAGTCCCACCACCATTTCAAAAACCATCAGAAATATGCTTTCAAAAACCTTTACCTCAAATCCAAAGGCATTACCATACTTTTACTTACCTCTTCTTGTAGGCTTAAAACAACAAGTATTCAATGTTTCAAGGAGATGGTGGTGACTTAGAACCTATTTCATAATCAAGAACAATAGGGTCACAACATGCCTCATTCAACAAAAATTGATCTTTAATCCTAGCACCAAGTTCTATCCCAAAGGAACAATTTCCCCCTATCTCCTCTTGCCATTCTACCCATCAAAACCTTACTAGTATATATATATATATAACTCACACGCATAGTCATATAAAAATTTCCAAAGATGGCAGCTGACCTTCCAACATTCTCGGCAAGGAGCAACAAGACTTGGCAAATGGCAAAAAATTTATGGGGAAAAATAATGTAGAAAATTGCAAGGAAAAATGCAGCAAAATGCAAATTTTTTTAGGGAAAAATAAAAAAAAATTTGGTTTAAAAATAGTGCAAAAAATAGCTGGGGAAATGTAGCAAAATGCAGAAGCAAAAGCACCCAAGATTGCAGAAAAATGTAGCAGCAAAATAGGTTGCAGCAAATGCAGCAAAACAGATTGTAGAAAATGCAGCAGCAAAACAGATTGCAAAAAATGCAGCAGCAGAAAACAGGTTTAAAGCCAATTGTCGTTCCTTTACTTTAATATTTTATTCGTTCTTGTCCCTCTACTAAGGACATGTTCGTTGTGGTCCCTCTACTCTACCAAAGAGCCAAAACGTCGTCCCTCTACTTCACTCTTTCTATTCGTTGTCGTCCCTCCCCTAACACTGTTCATGTTGCCATCATTGCTAACCATTAAGTCCTAAATGGTCAGCAATTAAACCCATTTGTTCTTTTTATTTTTTTTCAACATGTGGTGCCATATGCAATAATGGAGACCACTTTACCCACTTTGCCTCCCTGCTTACTCAGACCCCATACTTTCCCTTTTTTTTTTTTTTTTCTGTTGCAGGATGCCAACAAAAACACCTAAAAAAAAATAAGCCAAGTGGGGGAATCATCATTTAAATAACTTAAAATAATAAATTTAATTAAATACGTATAATTTTTTAGATTTAAACTAACAAATATTAAAAAAAATAATATAGGATAAATTCACCAAACATGATAATAAGAGAGAACTCAATTTTAAACTAAATTTACTATAAAATAAATCTTAAATATAAGATAAAGTTTTAATTTTTCAAACACAAATTGTAATGTACATACACAGGATCATTTAATCTTTGATACTCCAATCTTTTTTTTTTTTTTGTATTCTGTCAAAAATACTCCAATTCTTTCACAACTTGAAAATGATGAAATTTGATTTAAGAGTTTAATAGTTAAATTTTTAAGAGTTGAAGCACTATATTCAAAATATTTTCATCACTCATCTATTAAGATAGCAAGAAATATATAAAATGTTAAAAAAATTATAATTAAAAATAT